AAGTTGAAGAAGGATATTCGAACTGATACGACCAGTTCCAGCTCCTCCAGCATTTCCAGCAGCGAGGAGAACGACTTCTGGCAGCCCAAACCCACTCTGGAGGACGCTCCTCAGAATTCTCTGCTGCCCAACTTCATCGGCTACAAAGGGAAACACATTGGAAAATCCGGCAAAGTGGACGTAATAAACGCTGCCAAGGAGCTTATCTCCCAAATTGCCAACGAGCTCGAGGATGCGAGCAACATCCCCGTTCACGCAACTCTCGAGAAATTCACGATTCTTTGCAATTTGTTGCGCACCATGAACAGGAAGCAAATAAACGAGTTGGAAAGCAACATGCAGATCTCGCCCAACGAGTTGAAGTCGAACGATAAATCTCAGGTTGTCAAGCAAAATACATGGATGGTGTTCAGAGACGCCATTACCCAAGCTGGAACGGGACCTGCCTTCTTGACCATCAAGGAATGGATCGAAAGGGGGAATATAAGAAACATGGAGGCAACCAACATCATGAGCAAACTTCCAAAGACTGTTCGCACGCCCACTGACAGTTACATCAGATCCTTCTTCGTGAGTAATATTTGACACGAACACGATTTGCACAAATTTCACAAATTTTACAATATTTTCTCAATATTTTCCCAGGAACTGTTACAAAATCCTAAAGTGAGAGACGAACAATTGCTCAACACCGCGGCCACCGTATCGTTCAGCGAGATGATCCACAACGCCCAAGTGAACAAGAGGAGGATTCACAATAACTATCCTGTCCACACGTTCGGTCGTCTCGCGTCGAAACACGACAACAGCCTCTACGAGGAGTACATACCATTCCTGGAACGCGAGTTGAAGAAAGCCCATCAAGAAAAGAACAGCCCCAAGATCCAGACCTACATCATGGCTCTGGGTATGATCGGGGAACCCAAGATTCTATCCGTGTTCGAGCCTTATCTGGAAGGGAAACAGCGGATGACCGTGTTCCAGAGGACGTTGATGGTCGGCGCTTTGGGCAAATTAACCGAAACGAATCCGAAATTGGCACGCTCGGTCCTGTACAAGATTTATCTGAACACGATGGAGAGCCACGAGGTCCGTTGCACCGCGGTCTTCCTTCTGATGAGGACCAACCCACCGTTGAGCATGCTGCAACGAATGGCGGAATTCACCAAGTTGGACACGAACAGGCAGGTGAACTCGGCCGTGAAATCGACCCTCCAAAGCTTGATGAAGCTGAAGAGCTCCGAGTGGAGAGATCTCGCGAAGAAAGCTAGAAGCGTGAACCACCTTCTCACGCATCGCGATTACGACTACGAACTCTCTCGGGGATACATCGACGAGAGGATTTTGGAGAACCAGAACATCATCAGCCACATGATCCTCAATTACGTGGGAAGCGAAGATAGCGTGGTCCCGCGCATCTTTTACTCCTCCTGGTACTCCTCCAACGGTGACCTAAAACTACCTTCCACCGAAGTGCTAGCCATGATCTCGAGCGTGAAATCTTTCATGGAGTTGAGCCTTAAGAGCGTGAAAGACCGAGAAACGATTATTTCGGCGGCCGAGAAGATCGCTGAGGAGCTGAAAATTGTCCCCGAAGAGCTCGTTCCTCTGGAAGGAAACTTTATGATAAACAACAAATATTCCTTGAGATACTTCCCCTTCGATAAGCACACTCTCGATAAATTACCCACGTGTAAGTATATTCTTCCTTTTCTTTCTATTAAATTTTAATAAAAAGACTTTTCAATCAGAAATTTCAATCAACGAAATCTTATCGTCTAACGTTTCAGTGGTTTCCAAATACATAGAGGCTATGAAGGAAGGAAGCTTCATGAACATCAATATGTTGGAAAGTTATGACACAGTGCACAGTTTCCCCACCGAAACTGGCCTACCATTCGTGTATACATTCAACGTTGTAAAGTTGATCAAGGCAAGCGGAACCGTCCAGGTGCAGATCAATCCCGACTTCGCTTTCATCGCGAACTCGAACGTTCGCCTGGCCTTTTCGAAGAACATCCAAGGAAGAGTAGGTTTCGTCACACCGTTCGAGCATCGACACTTCATCTCCGGTATCGACTCCAACTTCCACGTTTACACCCCACTGAAAGTCTCCCTGGACATGAACACGCCCAAGGGCAACATGCAATGGAAGATCTGGCCGTTGAAGGGTGAGGAGAAGTCGAGACTGTTCCATTACAGCGTCGTTCCATACGTGTCCAACCACGATATTCTGAATCTTCGTCCCCTTTCGATGGAGAAGGGCACTCGATCGATGATCCCCGACGACAACACGTCCCTCGCCCTTCCAAAGACGAGCAGGGGACCGTTCAGGTTCAACGTCGAAACTGGTAAAACTAACGAGAATTTGTGGGAACTGGTCGATACGGAGAAATTGACCGATCGTCTCACCTCCCCCTGGACCATGGACAATGGAAGATACTTCAAGATGGACATGTACATGAATTTGGAGGGCGAGCAGAAAGATCCTGTAATACTATCCACGTCTTTCGACAGCAAGGTGATGACGGCCGACACGGATTCAAGGAACTGGACACCGAAAATGTTGGCGGTCGAGCCGACGGACAAGCAGGCGAACAGCAAAACTCGTAGGCAAGAGATGATGAAGGAAGCTGGAAGGGGTATCGAATCAGCGAAATCGTACGTGGTGGACGTTCGAGTGCACATTCCTGGCGAGTCGGAAAGCGAGACCGTTCTCACGTTTGCCTGGTCGGACAGCAACGTGGAGAGGAAGGGACGACTGCTCGGTTTCTGGCGCGTCGAAATGCCGAGGAGCAACGTCAATTACGAGGTTTGCATTGGCTCTCAGACCATGATCTCGCCGGAAACTCTTCTGTCCTACGACGAGAAGATGGACCGGAAGCCGAAGATAGATTTCAACGTGGATATCCGTTACGGGGAGAGCTGCGGCAAAGGCGAGCGGATCGATGTGAACGGTAAAATTAGCCAGAGCCACAGGCTTAAGGAGCTGGTCAGGGATACGTCCACAATCAAGGATTGCTTGGAGGAGATGAAACGGGGGAACAAGATATTGAGAACGTGTCAAAAAGCTGTCGTGCTGTCCATGCTGCTCGACGAGGTGGACATCTCGATGGAGGTCCCCTCCGACGCCCTTATAGCCCTGTACTCCCAAGGCCTCGTAACCTTGAGCGAGCTCGACAATTTGGACGTGAGCATGGATCTCTCGAATCCCAAAAATGCCGGCAAGAAGAAGATCGACATAAGAGCTAAACTGAACGAGTACCTGGACAAGGCCGACGTGATTGTCAACACGCCCATCATGGATGCACATTTCAAGGACTTGAGATTGTCCGACTTTGGATTCACCGCTGAGGACATTTTGGACACTGCCGACGAGGACCTGTTGATTAACAACGTATTCTACGAGGATGAAAGTAAGTTTTTCTCTTGATCGAATCGAATCATCTCTCGAATCGAGGCTCACCTTTAATTTAATTCAAGCTTCCTGTATGCTGGACAAAACCCGTGCCCAGACGTTCGACGGCAAGGATTATCCTCTCAGATTGGGCGCCTGCTGGCACGCTGTCATGACCACGTATCCGAGGATCAACCCGGACAATCACAACGAGAAACTTCACATTCCCAAGGACAGAAGCGTGAGCGTCCTCAGCCGGGAGAACGAGAGCGGGCAGAAGGAGATGAAGATACTACTCGGAAGCGACAAGATCAAGTTCGTGCCTGGGACGACGAGCCAGCCGGAAGTGTTCGTGAACGGAGAGAAAATCGTGGTGTCCAGGGACAAAGCTTATCAGAAGATGGAAGGAAACGAGGTCATTTTCGAGATCTACAAGATCGGTGATAGATTTATCGCTCTGACATCCGACAAATTTGACGTATCCCTGGCTCTGGACGGAGAACGCGTCATGCTCAAGGTAATCACGAAATCTCGAAATCGTCTCGATTCTCGTTGCTAACCAATAATTAATTTAAAACTCGTTCACAGGCGTCTGAAGATTATCGCTACTCCGTTCGCGGTCTCTGCGGCAATTTCGACCACGACTTGACCAACGACTTCGTGGGACCCAAGAACTGCGTATTCAGAAAGCCTGAACACTTCATAGCCAGCTACGCTTTGATCAATGACCAATGCGAGGGAGACTCGTTGAACGTGGCGAAATCTCTTCAGGATCACGATTGCGTCCGACAGGAGAGGACCAGGGAGAGCAACGTGATCAGCGACAGCGAATCGGGACGATTGGACACCGAGATGTCGAGCTGGGGCTATCAGAACGTTAACAAACGTTGCATGATTCACAGGACCCAGGTGAAGGAGACCGACGACAAGATCTGCTTCACCATGCGTCCAGTGGTCTCTTGCGCATCTGGATGCACGGCTGTCGAGACCAAATCGAAGGCGTACAAGTTCCACTGCATGGAGAAGAACGAGGCCGCGATGAAGCTGAAGAAGAGAATCGAGAAGGGCGCCAATCCTGATCTCAGTCAGAAACCTGTTTCCATCACCGAGGAATTGAACGTTCCTCTCGTCTGCAAGGCTTAACTCGAAATGTACTTTGTCGCTTTGTTTCGTTAAGGAATAATAATTAAAAGTAGTTTTATAGCAGAATATTTACTTTAATAAAATTCATTTTCAATAATCTTTTGAATCCTCTCTTTCGTTTCTCTTTATTTTTTTTTTTTTTTTT